CCATAGCAACGTACAACCTACGTCCAACGCTCCATTATCAGGCCTCCAATCGTCCAAGACGCAGATTTGCGCCTGTGGCAAATCCAATAAAGGGTATGAGCCTCGAGCTGGAGCATAGAAAACCTGGGCTTGTCTGACGCGGGCAAACAGGGCCGTTTCCATACAAGAGGGGAGCCCGAACGCATATGAGTCAGGCGCAAAAAGAAGGATAATCCCTGGAAGTGATTTGTTGTTGTTTCCCCCCAACATGGATTGCGATGCTCTCAACAAAGCCACAGGATTGAAAAAGAACTAAAAAAGCTGAAAATCAACCCACTATAATATCACTGATATGGTTCGATGTCATGTATACAAACAAAACTTCCAGACGGGGCAACACACACACACATCACCGAAAACATGGCCACTTCTCCGCCACTGGACTCCCGGCAATGCATGTTTACCGTACCTCGGACTTGTCTCTCAAAAGCTCTTGGGGGATGATTTCGAGCTCTGGGAAAATGGAAAACCAAAGAGCGTGCGATGGGAAAGTACCACGCCAAGAGACTCGTTGGAAAATCATAGACAGCGGTTTCAGGACGAAGCTCTTGCCCTCATTTCCAGAGCCGGTAAAGCACAAGACGTCTCCCTTTTTCTGGAGGCCGGACAGAAGCGCGCACCGCAAATGTTGACAAAGCTCCCCCTCGTCAATGCCATTGTTTCGAAGAATCTCACGGGCAGCTGGCGCCCACGTTCTGTCACAACAACATGGCTGGTCCAAGGCAGAAGTGAAGCGTTTCCAAGTAGTTGTCTGGGCATCTGCAACGACTTGGTCACAAGTCTCCAATGCACAGCACATCCCAACCTTCTCTCGGATGCTGCCACTGTTGCGGAAGAGATACGTCAAGAGCCTCTCATTGCCGGAATTTCGTCCATGCTGCAGGAGTTTAGCAAGAAGGACAGGGTCATCGGCTTGTAGGCCAAGTTGCATCGCAATAGGCCATAGCTCCAAGTCAGAGAATTTGCATGGCCCGCGCTTGCCGGCAGCCCAACGCTGCAAAAAACGCTCGGCCACCTTCTCTTCAACTGCAGCGCTGTCCAGCGCGCCGTTAATCGCATCCAGAAGTGGCGGATGCTTCCGGCCCCCGCAGCACCACAACAATGGGTCCTTGTCCAAGGCCGACAAGCCCTTGTGCTCAGATGGTAACCAGAGGTACCGCAACATATGGGCATACTGCATCTTGCGGTGCTTGCTGTGGTCCTCAATCGCCATGTTTGGAAAGTGCGCAACATAGCCGGCTTTGACCAACTGTTTCTTCCATCCCACCCAACGGCAAGGTTCCGACAACGCAGTAGCCACATGAAAATGCCACTTTCCACTGCCGTGCTGCTCCCGGAAAACACAGGCATGCGTCACGCAAGCAGTCGAACCAGTGTCAAATGCACGCAAAACGGTTTCAAGGATGGCTTCCCTGGTCGGGGCATTGATTGGATCCAGGTTGGAGAAGGTAAGCAGGTAAGTCTTTTGGACACATTGTGAATCTATTTGTGACAGCCGCCCAGCAGCAGCTGGTGGTTTCTTCACAGCACGAAGTAAGCGCCGAGAGAGCTCTTTCGGCACTGCAGTCATTGCAGCTGAGATGAAGTCGTCTTTCTCCTGCAACAGTTCTGCCATGGTGACTTTGCCACCCGCTTTTGCCAAGATATCTGCCAAAATCACATTGATACGAAGGCTGTGGAGCTGCTCATCAGTTTCAGCTGCCACCAAGGCCTGCACAGTCTTGTACTTGCCAAGCAACTGCCAACGATCACACGAATCCAAATTTTCACTGCCATCACTGCCCACAGCGTCAGGCAGGGCTGCGACTGTATCAGCGCGCGCCGCTTCGGCAGGGTCCACGCCGTCTGCCTGACTTTCGCCAACGGCAACAGCTGCAGTGGCAGCTTCTGGTAGGACATGGCCGTCTTCGACTTCTTCGATTTGCTCGTAGCATGGGGGGGGCCGCTGCTTTGACCGCAATCTCCGGCGCTTCATGCCATTCAATGATGCACGCACACGTGCGACATGCAAAAAAACTACAACTGCAACTGGCTTGCCGTGGGCTATATAGGTTGAGGTTGTGT